ATATCGGAGCTACGATTCATCCGAATGAGATCGGTGAGTTTATCGTAGAAAGCGTATTTTGTGTATCAGATCTGGAATGAGTCGGTGCATATAGTGATATCATGAACAAACCCCTTCTGCTATTGTCTCTTTTCTGGAAGATAATTGAACCCTGGAGACGCACTGCACATAAACGACTGTTGAAGTGGATCTAATCGGTAAGAGAGGACTCAATCCTGTTGCTGAGTACAATACCTACCCCGCGCTGATCCACTGAGCGGGCTTCGTCATCGCCTGAGGTGCGACGAACGTATCTCGAAAACAAATCTGGCGCGCTTAAGTGGCCTATAATAGTGGGAGTTAAACAAAGATTGGGATATCTGAGCAGTAGTCCATTTATCACTACCCAACCCGCTCGATGCAATGGGCAGCGCGGTCCTGCTTATCCTGCGCGACGACCGATGCGGTATGAAATTATTTTTATTTTGTGTATGCATTAGGGTTTGATGGACGGGTACTGCTAGGGTGTCCAGCAACTAAGCAGGAGAACGATTAGGGTTCTCGTCCAAAGCTTTTAGTTCTAACAAGAACCCAACCGCAAGGCAGCGGTTAAGATGGATTGGAGGCCCATTTAATTGGATCGGTAACTCCTCCACCGCTTTTTACCGACTGAAACGCCAACCCCAGTCGAACTCCCAACCTGGAGGACCAGGAGACTGGACTCCGTCTGACCTCTACCCATTGACCTTCCAGGCATGATAAGATCACCTGGCTTTACAAAGCCATCCTGTGTAGCTCGTAAGGCCACAGAGGTGCACAAGCCATCACATCGTCGTGACAGCATCACAGTCTAGGTCAACCACTACTAATAAAATGGGAGTATTCGATACATTTTGAACTACTGCTGCTGAGTATAAACTAATCACAGGGATCATTGCTCTAAAGACTCACCAAGGCTTGTTTATTATTATATGGAAAAAATAATTACTTCAGTGTAAATGCTGTTGCTATCCCAACCCTCAAGTGTTTCACAGGGACCCATTGATTCAGTTTCGGGCCTGATTATTCATAAAAACAGCTAAGATACTAAAGAAAAAGTGACATAGCACTAAGGAGGAGCGGGCACATACATACAAACACACTCAAAAACATGCTCACATGTGATTCACTGTCGCGGATGATGAATTCTCCCGGTCTTGAGTATTGCCCAAGCATGGCCTCACATTCGGCACGCGAGATAGCACCCCAACACCATGGCTGATGTACATGTGCTCGTGCGGTGTTTGAACGCAACGCGTAGCTCAGCCGTAGTGTATCTCCTCCCTCGGGACGTGAGTTTCCCGTGCTCGGCTGAGTGGAGCCTCGTCCGAATGGATCCAGGTTGGGACCTCTACCACCAGTTCCCACAGCCGTTCCACTTGCACTGGCTGTTGCGGTTGCCGTGGCGGTTGCACTGATTGTTGTAGTGGTGGTGGCTGTTGCGTTTAGGACACGAACATAATTCCGTGGAACCAGACCGGTCTCACCTCGGGCATTACGACAGCGCCACCAGTCCGGGTCATCAGCTGGTTTATCCAAAACATCGAGAATCTCATTGGCGTCAAACGACATTTCTTCAATTTGATTTCGCACGAACGGATAAAGAGTGAGCACAGTCTCTCGGGGTGGAGGTCGATAGCCTGGTTTGAATTCAGCTGTTGCACTACCAGCAGGCGGTAGGCCTGGACCACTAGAACCACTGGGGATTAGGGTTTTGCTGCTTTGATAATGCTGGGCTAATAACTGTGCTTGTAGTTGAGCTTGCATGGTCATTGTGGTGTGTGAGACAAGTGAATCCTTGGTTCCCCGACCAAGAGACGTGGAATTCAAGCTATTCGGTTGCGAAGTACTTCCCGCTCTATAAAAATAAGGAGGAAGTTGGGTGGAATAGGAAGCATATGCTGAGATCAAACTACAGGATTGTGGAAAAAAGTTACGACTATTTGTAGAAATCACTGGGGAAGAAAATGGAAAACCTAATGAAAGGGAAACATTGTGAAAATCGAATCAATAAGAAAAGTTCATCAGTGACATTCAAAACATCTGAAATTCGTCAGTAAACATCGAACGGTTGGGTGCGTTCGAATGTTCAGAACAGAATTAGAATTATGAGGCTTCGACAATACAACAGAAAAAATACTGATACTTTGAACAGTGACGGTCTCCGCAGGACGTTAGCTCGATGCAACTATGAATATACAGTGAATACTTACAAGGACTGAACAAAATGTTTCCAGATTCACCAAAAGTTTTATTTGGTACACAAAATAAGCATTACATTTTCTCGAAGTATTCCTCACCAGACTCGATGCACAGTTTCATGCCCTCAAACCATTTGGTGAAACAGCTCAACCATGTTGAACAGGGTAACCCTTCGACCGGTTGAATGACGGTCTACCCTGGGGTTGTTGGTGACTTGTATCGAATTCCACGCATAATGTGCTTGATATTTGGGAGCACAAAACTCACAAGGAAACAGGTCCGGATTATAGAGTGGGCGACCAACCTCTTGGATGCGTTCTCTAATCAGAAAATCGCCGACAACATGAGAACTGCCAGCAGGGGCCTTGTCATGATGCAGCAAGAACCCTCATGCTCGAGTCCTCGGACGACACCCGACAATGGCATCCAGCAATTTCGGCAGACAGTGGGTGGCGAGCCAGTTTCCGGCGAATGGGCTTTGCTGTACAGCAGCTATATGATCAACACTCTGTTGTTGCATCAAGCACATTTGTAGTCATAGAAAACCATCACCCTCCAGTGATATCGACTGAGTTCTATCCTTACAGTCCGAGTATAACGACCCTTGTGACTTGTGAGCTGTGCTCAGCTGATGACAGTTTCCTTGACCGGTTATCTGCACTTCACACATGTATTGGGTATCCGAAAACGTATTTCTCAGACCTCGTACAATAGCTGGTCTGCACGACCCACAATAGGACAAAAGAAACTGAATCGCAGTCACAGATGGCTTAGATAAGCGAACATGAAATTATCAGAAAATGAACAGGAAATATAGTTAAAGAAAACGAAAAGAGAGAACGACGAAGTCACATTCAATAAGTTGAACGCAGAAGACAGAAAGTATTCACGTGTCGGCCGTAATGCGCGTGTGTGTGTGAAATCAAGGTCACGACGCTAGAGTGTGGGGCAGGCGACGTTAGACACACAGAAGCAGATTGGTACACACTGTCCAACTAAGCGAAACATCAGAGCTATGAAAACGAGCACAAACAATCCCCTCTTTCCACACAAGAGTAAAAGCTGGCAAGAAACCTATGCACATACAACCCACTTATGTAAACAGAAGCGCAGCGCTAGCGTCTGAGCCTATACGAGGGATTGACTAGCAAATTGCACCATTCGATTAACGTACTAAGGTTGGCATGACTAATGCCTGTGTGTACGGGGAAATAAGTTATTGCGATGATGCATAAAAATAGCACCACAGAGAAGGTAAAACTGCGCGATGGGAAAATCGAACAATTGATGTTTTCGATTTACGATATGATAGAGAAGTGGACCCCCAAATACCGAAACTTCCACGAAAAAAGACGACGGGCAAAAAAGGCTGTCATAGAACATGCCCATTGTGGGATTAACATAACAAATGAATGAATTTCGCATACCTGTTATTACCTGAATTGCTGTATTCACAATACCCAAATGATCCAGATACCTTTTATTCTGATAGGTATACCGCTTGACTTGAATACAACAAATGGAAATATTGAATACAAGATTTACTCATTTACCACTTCGTTTAAGACATTGACACAAAGAAGATTGGTCTGCGGATAAACGTGTATTCATCGAATCCAAAAGTACGTCATGAGCACATTTGATTATACATAGCTAATTACGGAACGCTCAACAGAATGACGCACAACTTATGTTGTTCGCTGTCAGTTTCCGTGAGAGCAAGTGGTGTCCTCAAGAATTTATGTACTATCCCTACAGGGTTGGCTCGATCGTTGAGAACGGTGCATTGATAGACAGCACAGTGATTAGATGACCCCAGTGCATATTTTACGATGTGCTGCAGATCTGATTCCAAACCAAACACGAGGCGTACGAATCACACACAACTTCCTGATTGAAGAGGTGACCACTGACTAGATTGGGCATCAAGGTGTATTGGGCACATTGGACGTTTGACCCCGCCCAAACGGCGCACTATCCAATGAACTGGACACCGGCCCCCAATGGATGGCGGCTTTTACACACCGCTCCGCTGCATTGCGGGTCAGGCGGTGGCTAGCTAAAGGCTCCGGTTAGAGATTCCTCAAGAAANNNNCCCACATGCAGATCATGGAATGATTTTTTTCATAAAGATTATTGTATCATGATTTGTTTGACAGCCTGGATTCAGGCATGCGTGAAAATATAAATATGCAGACCTGATAATGGGCTGTAGTCGTTGTCTTGATTGTTTTGAGTTGTCAGGCTAAATACCTCTAGCGATACTTTTATCCTCTAAACTTGTGATTACGTTGTCGAAACATCGTTCCGCTAGCAGGAAATGTTGTTTGCAGACGTTTTGGAGCCAACCTTAGCAACACCATCAGTGGGACATTCGCATTCCGAGCTACAACCAATCAACATCGTTCCTCTTCCGACATTTTGCGATCTTCCGTGGACCATTGCCTTCCACCTTAGTATTTACACGCAAAATTATTATCTTTTAAATTATTGGCCAAACATACAAGGTGCCAACACTGAAAAACAACCTGTCACCAACATAGGTGAAATAAATAAGGTTGGAGAAAACAGTCCCGAAGCGCTGTGTATAACTGACAAAAAACGTTCAGTATTTACTAAAACGTGGATATCATACGTAATCCGTAAATCAGTTTTAGTTTTCAGTTTTTACAACCATTAACCATGCAATTTCGTGCGCCGGTTTTGGTTGCCCATTTGGATAAAAGAGGGAAATGAAGATTGGAATGTCGAAGCAAATTCAAGCGGAAGATGGGGAATACATANATGCAAACTGTGAGAAAGAAAGATTTGTTCATCAGTTTGCCATTCAAAGGTGATACCGTGAGTGAGATCCTACTTCGGCAACTGAACAGAGAGATTGACAACACCTTCAACGCTACTAAGTTACGGTGCGTGTTTCGTGGCGCTCCAACGATCCACATTCAAAATAAGGATAAACTGTCCATACTGACCGCATCAATGGTTGTATACTCTTTCAGATGCGTATGTGGCGCATCTTATATTGGTCGAATGGTACGACAGCTATCTTAATTTCAGTTTCAGTTTTCAGTTTATTCAACCATTAACCATGCCCTTTCGTGCGCCGGTTTTGGTTGCTGTCTTTGGTTGCCCCATTTAGATCAAAGAGTGAAGTGAAGATTGGAATGTCGAAGCAAATTCAAGCGGAAGATGGGGAATACATATGGAGTGGTGTTAGAAAAATAACGAGTGGATGCACGAGCGCCACTGTAAATCGCATAAATCAACACTAGCTGCTCTGCACTTAATCCTTTCAGGCTCAAATGCAACCAGTTCTTAGTTCCACAAGGTTTTGGAGTTCGAGTAATTAGATTCAGTCGGAATTCTGCTCATCTAATCACCCCGTATTACTGTTTACAGGGATAGAGCAACGGCATTACAGCTGGCAGTACAACCCAGTGCCCACCTCAAAGTAAACGGAACAGATCGTGGGAAGAGAACGCGCACGGTGGGTTAAATGAACTCCCAATGAAATGGATACACCAGAGAAGGAAGAACAACAATCAACCGCGTAAGTATAGAAATATCAGATAGGCAGACGTTAAAGATATCCATGGTAGGTTGAATAGAACTGATCGATATTTCACACAATATGATCTGAGAGCGACCATGCGATAAGGAGAAAAGAAAAGATGCAACAACATGGGTTCAGACAGATAGGTGGGATTGTTTAGTGCTCTCAGGGGATACGTAGAATGCATCAAAAACATTCACACGATACACTTAACAAACTGGTGTGATAACCAAATATAATTAGTAACAGTCGAACGATCCGATACATCTAAAACCAAAATACGGAAACAAACGATGGACACATGTTCAGAATTATAATGTCGCCTGTTGGTCACTAACCAAATAACAATCCAGGCACGACAATTAAGTCGGACTGATATAAGGATTATTATTCGATCGATAGATTGCTCAGCATGAAGATTGGCTGTTGATGTAACCCGTTGGGTTAGCACAAAGGAGGATGGATTGCTCTATGTATCTGCAGACAGCCGGGGTGTGCACACGAACGACTGAATTCAATATTTTGACAACAGTACATTAGTCAGGAAAAACTCAACAATTACGCAAACGATCGACTTTATTTATAATCCATAGGTGTGGCTGTATCAGTCGTTCGTCTGGAAGGGAACGAACACGGCAAACTAAACAGCTCACTGAGAACGCAAGGAAAGATGAGACACGAAGTTGCAATATTCTGTGTTTAAACGGCAAGGATTACGAGTCTGAGATGATTAGGGGGACTCAGGGGTGATGGGGTAGAAAGTAACAAATGTAGATGAACACAAGAATGTAGAAATATTGTTCCGATGCTCGACTTGATGGCCTGCTGAGTAATGAAAACACGGCATGATTACAACCTAATGGCTGTGAAGATCGCGAAAATCGATCAACGACACATAGTGACTGGCTTATGGGCTTCGAGACGTAGTCATCCCCTAAGCGATGGCACCCTATCACGTAGAGCGAGCAAAGTGAGACAGAGAGAGAGAGACGGAAGATTGGCGCAAACAGATATTTCA